ACTGTGTTCCCCCCGCAGGGGAACGCCCACCCCCCCTTGGGTAAAATGGAAAAAAAAAAAAAAAAAAAAAAAAAATACCTTGTTCACACTTCAACTGATTTTTTTTTATTTCGTTGTGCCCTCAAGGCCCTAGGAAAAATATAAAGATATCAGAAACTGCAGTTATGCTGAATGTTATGTCATGTCACTCTACCTTCCCTTAAACGTAAGGGAAAGTAGACCCAACCCTCAATTCCTGAAACAAAAGACAGAATTTATTTTTCTGTCAGTAAAAGGTGTTTATTATAGAAAAGACATTTAAAAGATGGCTTGGGACATATAAATAAAAAGCATCTCTGGAAAATCCAAATATTTTCACACTTACAGACATACCACAATCAGTAAAAAAAAAACAAACAAACAGATTTTATGACTGTGACGGTTAGTGTTTGTTGCCTTGCTCTTATTTACTTAATAACAGCTGATAATTATTGATTTTGCATCAAACTTTATACAGGTGACTAAACACCAACTTGAACTCATGAAACAGTACAACAGACCACAATGGAGTGTATGCAGATGGGATTTTGCATGACTTTATAAACACGCCTCGTTTATGCACAACCTCATTTATAACTTTTAGAGTGAAGTCACAGTGTAAACACTGGGGGAAAAGCTCGGCAAATAGCATAATGTGCGTCATGCGATAAAGTACTGCATAGATTTAGCAAAAGATGAAAACTTTGCTCTGAATACCCCTTCTACCAGTGACACAGGGCAATTTTTGTTTGCTCGTGCACCATCTAAGGTTTTTCATTAAACACTGTATGAAGTTTAAAAATGTTCGAGATTTAAAAATGAAAATTCAGTGAACCTACAAAAGTATGACACTTTACAACTGCTACAATTTTTTTTTTCTGTTTTTTTTTTACTGAACTGATTAAAACGTTACAGTTTCCAAAAACTCTAAGGGCCTAGGGTCACGTCAGTCAAACAAAATAATTCAAACAGTCCACATAAAAATGTGAAAAAGGAAAAAAAAAAAAATCCTTTACCATTCAATTTAAAGAGAGGGAAACTGGCCCCTGCAGTCACAAACTGAAGGATAACCTCACCACAGAGAGCTGGAGTTCACTCAGAGTGCAAAGAAAGACTCATGGGAGTGAACAGAACTCGAGTGTTTCTCAAAACCAATCCGACGACCCTAAGAAAATGTTATCCGTCACGGCGACGCGGACGCTGTCCAGGGGGCTCGATGTTATCAAAACAATCTCCGGGCTTGCAGACAGAAAACAGGTGAGAAGCAGAATCGACTGTTTGCCGACAGACAGACAGGGAGGGAGGAAGGGATCCATTTGGACCCCATGGATCATCTGTGACGTGTTTGCAGTGTTCTCTGGTCCTCGGTGGTTTACAAGAATGAGGCGAGGGGTAAGGGATTCGATAGGAAGGGTTGTTTTTTTTTCTTTAAAAAAAAAACAAACATTATTCAGTTTCATTCAGGCCGCAGGGTCGCCGCCACTCCTGACCTCGTTCGTGGATCCACTTGTTTGATACTGGAAGACAGAAAAATAGAATCTTGAGAATATTCTAGTTAGTTAGTTACTTTATTCTCGCAAACGTTTACATACTCTTTGGTGTTTTTCTCATTAGCTAATGTACTACAAAAATGTTTCAACCCATTTTTTTGGGGATTTTATGTGAAAGAAGGTGCAAAACAGTAGGTGAAGTGAAAAGCTAGCACTGAAATTCAACCTGAACACATCATTCCCACTGTGAAACATAGTGGTGGCAGCATCATACTATGGGGAAACAGGACTCTCCTGGGCGAAAATCACTTCTAGAAGGACAGCAATCTTAAATATAACGCCATAACTTCAATGAAATAGTTTAAAAAAATACATATATTCATATGGTAGAATGGCTTAGTCAAAGCTCAGACCTAAATCCAACTGACAGTCTCATGCAAAACTAAAATTGCTGTTTACAGATTCTAATTATCCAACTGGACTGAATTTGAAGTATTTAACAAAAACAAAGAGGCATTCCCCAAAATGATTGCATCTTTTACTGTCGCGCACCTGGCAAGATTTTTAGTTGTAACACAAATTCTTTCGGGTTCATTATTATCCACTAGCTTTTTTCGATCAGTCTCATAAAATGCGGGAAGGTGCAGAAAAGTTAAAGCAGTGTAACTATTTCAGCAAAGCAGCACCCCATATGTACATTTACAATTCAGACAATGCTAAGGACCCAAATGAAGAAGCAGAAAATCCAAGCCTGAGGTATGAAGGCTAATCCTGCGTGTCATAATGTAGAGCCAAGGTTGAACTCCGGAAGAGGAACTCACCCCACTTGTTGCCCACTAACACCGGACAGGCTGCATGCCTGGTGCTATAGTCTCCTTCCCCGCTGGCAAAAAGATTGTACCAGAACACAGCGGTACCCTGCAATCAGTGGTAGATGTTAGCGGCAACTCTCCATCCGTACGAATCTGACTTAGCATGGTTTCATCTCACACATCCACTCTCAATTTAAAAAAAACAAAAAAACAGCTATTATTATCTACATAATTTAGAAAGAACTGTGCATGCTACTAATCTCAAAGCCATTTCGTGTTTATTACATCTGAATGTCTAAAATTGCTTTGACAAACATATGTGGTATTTTATAATCCAGCTAAATCGATTATGTTACAAGTAAATAAAGTGTTAGTGTGCCGTTACCTTTTTAGGCCAAACAGCTGCACCTACATCTGGAAATACTGTGGCGCCCCCTGCAGTCACATCGCTCATCTGCAACAGATAAAGTAAAGAAAAAAAATAAGCTGCTGACAGGTTTGTTGGCCCAACATCGTTCTCCAGTCCCACTGGGTGATCCAGAGGTGCTCCTGCATCAGAGCGGTCAGAGCAATGTTTATTTATGAATTACATATGTGGACATAAGGTCAATACTATTATTATTTTATCTATTTGATATGTGAGAAATTATTTCTAAGCTACAGTCAACTACTAATGCTAGTGATTAAGTTTTGCTGTTTCATCAAGATTGTTTTCAGATATTTGCCACTAAAATGTGAACAAATAAAATACCGTAAAACAAGTCACTTTGTTACTTACTAAAAGTTTTTCAGATGGTTTGTTTTAATTAGAAATTAATTTAAGTCCCATACTTATTTTTTTTTACATATTTATAGACTTATTCAGAAAATCTATTAAATTTCATGCACATTTTATGAGTTAATTGAAAGAACGCTGCCAATATTTCAACAGTGAACTACCAATTTATTATTTGGAAATGTTTCTCTAATGCATATCTGCACTGCACCAATGAATATTATCACATACTTTATTTTATTGTCTATTAATTAATTATTTCAGTCACTTAAACATTAATAGGTGATTGTCAACCTACTAAAGGTGCATGCTTGCACTTTTCATGCTATTGAGAACAAATAAGACTTCTAACAAGCATCATAATAATCAAAAACAGACGTACACCACATTGCTGGCACATTATACATAGAAGTGAAAAAACAACAACAACACATGTCTATATGACAACCGGAGTTTTTAACAAAAGCCACTGGTTAACTTAAAGCCAGCCCTGGACTTTGTATGCATTTACTTACATAAAAAAGCCACGTTGCAATACGATTTCCAGTTCCCAGTTCTTTAAACGCATCTGGCTCATCTTTCTGTGGAATTGTCGCACACCAGATGTAATGTCATGTCATGTCAATGCAACTGCTCGAAAACAGAAAATCAACTCTCAACAATTAAAAAGCTTACCCTTCCAAAGTCAAAGTGAGGTTCATACTGCCCTCCAACACCATAATTTGCAACCTATAAAATCAAAGAAAAACAACAAGTCGCTTAAATTGTACACATGCAGGAATAATCATGGGGGAAAAAAATAAAAAATGAAAAAAATCAGGAAGCCTTTTTAAATATTCACTTTTTTATTATTATTATTTTGGGTTTTACCTGGAGTTCTTCTGCTGTGTCCATTTCCAGACCTGTAATGGCTTCAATCCTCTCATTGATCCTTTCAATCACAGGATCCTCGTAGCCGGTGAGCCAAGCACTGCAACAATGGAGGCAGAGCAATTTAGATTGAGGACGTTTTTTGTTTGTCGTGGGATACACATTTGTCCACTAGATGGCAGTAGAAACTTTTTCAGTAAAAGCAACAAATTCATGCCATGCTTGAAAACATGCATGGGAAAAAACATTAAAAAAAAGCATGTGTGAATAAACTAGAAACATGGAAAGAGCCCAAGGATCTCCAGTCAGCTCAGGGTGCAGGTTTGTGCACTTTTGTGGTGTGGTTGAGCACCACAGAGAACAGATTTTTTTTAGGATTATGCTATTAGTGTATATATATATATATATGTCTACTAATGTTAAGTTCAGCGTCTTAAATGAAAATTTTAAATTGTCGTTTTTATGGAAGAAGCAGTAAAATCCCATAATGTCCACATCAAACCAGCCATGCTACTAACAATGGAGTTTCCACAACAATAAATTCCAGCTCCTAAAATAAAGATTTGCTTTCAGACATGAAAAACGGCATTCCCGTTTGGAAGGGATGGATTTAAGCAAGTCACGTCTGACAAAAAAGAAAAAGAAAAAGAAAAAGCCTTCCATCCGCTCCTCCGGCTCATCGCTAACCGAATCTACGACGGCGTGCTGACTCACACGTAATGCGCAGAAAAACCATCAAAGTGACGCCACACCCTCACATCCATGTGTGCTGACATTAACTACCGGGAGCAGTAAAACCAAAGTGATGTGGGGGTTCGAGTTGGCTGCTGGGCCTGCTATATTTAGGTCTGGATACAAATTTCAGAAAACATTGCTAAAATAGTTCAGATGAGATAACTAGCATTTAGATTTGCAATTGAGCATTTCATGTAATCCAATCCATGGCCTTGAAAAATGACTTCACCTCAGTGAAGCTAACAAAAAATGAAAATCTAAAATTAAAAAAAAAAAACTGCACTGCTGCACCACCGCAGCCATGGTGGCATGTTATGACTTCCTGTATGGGAAAAGGCTAAAAGGCAAGAAATAACAGTTCAGCGAATCATCCGCAGGGTTTAATTATCTTGGCTTAAACTAATTGTTTGCACCAATAATAATTAAAACCTGTTTATTGTTAGTTTTCCATCTAATTATTTGCATTTTCCCTGTGCAAGGTCAAACAAAGCCAGCCATTAGACAATGACAAAGCGGGAGCTGGATGAGGACCTGCTGACCTGTGACCCCTTACCTCTTGGAGACTCTGTATTGGGCTGTGGTAAGTTTCCCCGTTTGAGGGTCATGCACCGTGGCTCGCCTTAGCTATGGCAGTTCCAGAGGACACAAAGGAGTAGAGGAAATAAAAACGGGAAGAGGAAGAGAAAAAAAAAAGAGGACAGACAGAGCAGGACGAATGAAATGGAAAGAGAGAGAGAGAGAAGAAAAGCAGATGGAGTCACTGGTTGTTGATGTTATTAAAAAGAAAAAGCAGCAGAGTGCTCCATACTGGACTTCTAGATGTTGTTTATAACAATCACATTGATCATTTATTCATCGACTGCCTGTGATGAACCGCATGTGGGACAAAGCAACTATGTTAATACAAACTAGCAGAAACGGTAACACATTTTCCTCTCCGGTCAGCATGTTGTGTTACCTTTCTGAAGCAGACCCCTGAGCTGGAGAGCGCCCCAATAGTTTAAAATGAACAACTTCAGCTAGCAGCGCTGATACAACTTGATACAATTTCTTTGTCAATCAGTAATGGTCGACTGATATGTTTGAGGTGCCTTGCAAAAAGTATTGAAACCTCTTGGACATTCCCAGTTTTGTCTCACATTACAATCGTAAACCTTTGTGTGTCTTATTGGGATTTTATGTAGCAAACCAACACAAACCACAGCATATTTGAGAGGTGAAAGGAAAGGGATTCAAGGTTTTAAACTTTAACGCAAACAAAATTCGGAGAAGTGTGGCATGCATAATATTACGTTTAAGTGGACTTAAACTTAGAGCCAGAGTTGCAATTAAATTGTGTGTTTTAAAGTGCTTGTGTCAAAATGGACTAGCTAAGAAGAGTACAGACCGAAATTCAATTAAGAACTTGTGACTGTTCAGACTTTCTCCTTTCAACTTGATTATTTTACAAAAAAAATAAAATAAAATAGACAAAAACATTCCAGATGACCACAGCTAGTGGAGACACATCCCATAAGGCTGTATTTGTAAAAAGAATCAACAGTCCTGCGTTATTTTTGTTCCACTTAGCAATTTTATGTTTTTTTTTTTGTGTTGGTCTAGCACTTAATAACCCAATAAAATACTCTGAGGTTTAGGGTTATGATGACAAATAAAAGGAGCAAGAAATCATTTTACAAGGCACTGCTGTATAAATGTATTCTCATTCTGCGTTCAGCTCAAGAGCCTTTGACCTTTAACAAGGCAGCAAAGTGGAGCTCTGGACAGGCCAAAGAAGAAATCGGATGCGTTTTCAAGGGAAGGAATAATTCCCCCAAAGCTCTGTCCTGCGACCTTCCGTCTTACCTTTTGCTGATCCTGTAATGGGCCGTCTCCAGAACTCCAGTGACAGGGTTGGAGATGGTTGCCCTGCGCAGCTGTGAAGCCAGGGACATGATTTAACCCCCAACAAAGAGGCAGACAAGCATCTTTCTCGGATGCTTGTCTAAACCCGTCAAACCGGCCTCGAGACTTTAGCCTGCCACCCCTCAACATCCGAAATCACAAACACGCCGCTGAACAAGCGCTCCTCTGCTCAGAGAGTTACTCACTCGTGGTTTTGCCAGTTGCTTGACTTTCTCGATTTCTGCGTCGGAGATGATGTCAAGGTAGCGGACGATGTAGGGGCGGTCCCACTCGTCTTGCTGTTTGACCGGCGCCAGCACAAACCTGGGGTGGTGATTGTTGTCAAAGTATCGACAGAACAGCCGGCTCTGTCTGCGCGGGGTCTGGTGGCGAGATTGGGAATTAAACTGGAGTGGCAGATAAAAGCGAGACGCCGTCTCGTTATTTCTGCTGCTTTTCTTCCTCACCATCTTGAGGCCCTCCCCTCGACAAAGCATCTCATACTTCTTCCTCTCTGGGATCATAGAGAAGGAGTTCTTTTGCTTCTTTTGCTTCTTCTTTTCGCTCGTGTCTCTCTTGCCACGCTCCTCTTGCGTCCGAGCCGTTTCCTCGGCAGCTTTTCTCTGCTTCTCCAGCTGGAACTCGAAGTACTTCAAGTTGCCCTTGGCACGCTGGTGCTCCGGGTCTGAAATAGTGGCCAGAAAATGGCAGCGACGATGACGCTGTCACCGTAAACAGTTCACTGGATTCAATTCAATTCCCCACTACGGTTGACGGCAACTTACCCAGTTTGAGCAGCCTCAAGGTGTACTCCAGCGCTCGCTCTATTTCCCCCTGCTGGTAGATGGCATAACTCAGGTAGTCCAGAACCGTCACCTTGTCTATGGTGGACTCCTCTCCCTCGTCGAGCTGTTTCAGGGCCTGCGCCATCCACAGCTCTGTGTGGTAATAATCGGCGTCCGAGTAGGCTATTTTACCCAGCTCGTAACAGTCCTCCACTGTCATCTGGCTCTTGTGCTTCACGCCTGGTGAGCAAATAAAAGGACAACAATGATGCCAGGGTGCAAAAAAAAAACAAAACAAAAAAAAAGACACTGGGTGCTGTTTAAACAACAAATAAACTACCAAAAGAAAAGAAAAAACATTGAGCCCGGTGCTAAATGTAACCATTTACTGAGGCAACAGTTTTACCAGGAAGATTTCCTGTGGAGATGGTGTTGGCGTCGAGCTTGTAGGTGTCTTGTAACCGGAGAAGAGCTTTAGCCGCTCCAGTCTGGTCCTCCTCTGTGGGGAAGTACTGCCTCTGGATGGTCAGGTTGGAGATAAATCCTGCAAGAATTGCAAACATCAGTATTTTAGAGGCGTATGAATCCAACAGCAATAGCACTGAATACTGCTATGGAGTTTTGGTGACTGCAGTGAGCTTTGGAGTTTTTTTCTGGTGGCCTTACTATCCTCCTCGTTGTGCAAAGTGAAACGAAAAAACATAGATCCTCGACCAGCCTTAATTGTCCAACCTCTAGTGTTTTAAAACCTCCGATTTATTTCCAAGTTTAAGTGAGAAACTATTTTCTTTTCGCTGTTTACTGACTTAAGAATGTCAATACACAATTGGCGTACTTGAATGACAAGTTGTTGGTTTTTTTGTCTTTCCCATTTTGAAGGAATGTCAGATGTCTTAAAAGCTGATAAATCTGGAATCAACTGAAACAAATAAGATACAAATTACCAGAAATGTTCAATTTTAAGTATTTTCTACAGATTATAAACATGTCAATAATTGTGGAATTTGTTAAAATGTGTCATTTTGTCCACTGACTAAATCTAAAGATTGGATTTTTCTTATTTTTCCCAATGTGAGAACATGCAACTGAGACAACAGGCACATTTTGTTTGACAGATCTTTAGAGAAAGTTTCAATAAATGTGGACGGCTCAAATATGAACTTTTCACGCTAGAACTTGTCAATTCCAGTGTTAACGTGAGAGCTAACTGTGAATGCCAGCACTTCTCAGTTGTCCATACCATCAGTCGTGTCACTAAGCACAAGACTCTCCAGGTCCCCCCACTCTGTGTTCAGCCTCTTCATCAGTTTGAAGGCATTGACGGGATGACCCAAAAACCCTTCTGGGTCTTGTGTGGCTGTTGCTGTCAAGGAATCCAACTTGTCGGCCCACCTGCCATGAAAAACGACAACACAGATCAAGAGTACTGATCGGAAACGATGGGATTTTGCACCGGAGGTGTTCTAAAAACGCACAACCGTTTCTGAACTTCGCAATAAAAGCGACATAGAGTTCAATGCGACACATGACGGAGCAAATATTCCTCAAAATTGGTTTTAATCTCTAGTTTACTATACTGATCTTCTCAGGGTGAGTCTTCTTATTCAGTCAGAAAAAAAGTTTGTTTAATTGTTGGATGCAAATCAAAGCTCTTGCTCATCTCATAGCATCTCATCCTCTTGGAATTTAGCTCATTTTTCTTTGTCGTTGAGGTTTTGCACCTGCGAGTCCTTGTTGAATGTGTTTGACCTGCAACAAAACAAACCGTACAAAGCATACTGACATTGAAAGTAATTTCTCGAAAGACTGTAAATGTATCTGGTGACAATGGAGACTTTGTGCCCTGTCACGTGAAATCTTTTCTGTTTTTAACAGCTCATAAAAGTGCTGTGCAGTTTGAATATTTCGATCCGATTCTCACCGCTTGACCCGCTCCAGTTTGTTCTCCTCCGCTCGGATGTAATCCTTCAGAGACGTGACGAGGTCCTTTTCAGTGTACAACAGATCTGTCATCTGGCCTGAGTGGCAACAAATCAGCAGAACCGGCATGGGTTACACACTGCATCACTGATATCGTCTTTTCATGATTTGAAAGGACTGCAAGGCTTCACTGTTTGCTTCTGGACTCGGTTAAATCGGATGATCACAGGGATCAGTTTTGCACGGTGTGTGTGCTGTACCTATGGAGGTGAAGAAATCATTGTGGGCTGAAAGTGACTGCAGGCAGCTCAGCAGCAACAAACACCAACATGGCAGCTCCATTCTGAAAGAGAACGGGATATGTCCTTTGGACAAATTCGACTGAAGCACAACCAGACTGATGGAAAAAAAAGCAACTGTAATTATCGTTTTTTTATATAATCTAAAAGTTCTTTATCAAAGTTGATTCCTGATGTGCAGATTAGAAATTTTCACTCAATCAGGCATCAGAAACTTTCTGTCCTTGCAGATGATCCTCAAGATTGCCTGACCTACTACATTTGATCTCACTATTATTATAATAAGGTAATGTCATTTCCCTTTCCTCCCTTCAGTGCTGGTCCATCTGATGCCATACGATGTATAACATCAGATGAGATAAAGTTTAAGTCACAGATTGTATTACTAGATCCCATTTATTTAAAAAAACAAACATCTCTTGTTCACTGAGTTAAAAACTTGAGCCTACTTGCATGACTATGGAATTTTTTGCATTTGCACTTTTAGGTTTTCTGTCAAAAATAGTTTTTCTTTCTGTGTTTTAGAGTATTGTTTTTCCTTCTTGTTGTTAAATAAAGATTCTTTTCTGAAGTAATTATCTCAACATCAAGGTAAAAAATCCTTGCCATTAACTAAAGAAAATACAAGTTTTTCAGTGGGAATGAGCTGAATATTAAAATGAGAATGACAAGTGACACTCACATTTTGATACACAAAACAGTCAAACGGTTAAACCATAAACGCTTCTGTTTCACCCTAAAAACACAACCATGTCGGAGACACCAAAATAAGTCTGTGTTTGGTGCCAACAAGTCTGGTTTTGGCTTTAGATTTTGGACAAGGTTTCAATCCAAGAAGTCACTGTGCCTGTGTAGGATGGAGCTGCATTTTCTCTTTTAACCCCACATTTAATAGAAAAGGAACACATAAAAGATTGGAGGGAAGAATTACTCATTACAGATCTAAACTTAAACCCAGATAGAGACTATATTTTATATATATATATATATATATATATATATATATATATATATATATATATATATATATATATATATATATATATATATATATTGTCCTTTATACGTTTTTATACGTTTCAGTGAAGTAAGAAGTAAGAAGTAAGGTCACCAGTCTACTGAGAGAGCAAAGAGTAACACACCCAAAACACACACTTGCACCTTTGGGCTATTTGTGAGGGCAAATGAGTGAAAGAGAATCCACAGAGGCATGCGAAAGGCTTACAACAACACAGACAGTCTGCACAGTTGAGGTTTACACTGGGAACCTCCTACCTAAGGTCCAACCGCTGTGCCAGCTACTATGGAGATAAAGTGAGATCACTTCTGCTCTGCTGAGAATCAAACTGGAAGTAGAGTGCAGGTTCAGACAGGCTCTGACTTTGTCCTCACTTGAAAAAAAACAAATGAATTGTGGGATTTTAATTTAGGTCAGCAGCATGCTGCAACGACAAACTAAAAAGATATTCAAACAGCTCCCATTTAATCAAAACTGGCAACACGCATAAAAAAAGTATTGCTGAAAACTAATACTGGTTATTATCCCCAAAGCACCAGAAACCAGAAATGGGTGAATCTTTTCATAACTTTGGGAAGTTACATAGAGACTCTCCTCTGACACAGCAAATTTATTTTCCGGCCACTTTTTCTATTCTTTCTAGCACGGTCTCCACTTCTGCTTTTGAAAGAAAAACACAGCAACAACGGATTGTGAGCAACAGTTCTTTGTCTACATTATTTGGCATTTTGTGAAATGCAAAATCAGATTAATTAAAAAAGAAAAAAAGAATCTATGTTATGAAGTAACATAGATTAAAAACAAACACTGATGAGCACAAGATGAGCACTTCAAGTAACTTTCTGTATTTTTTTGGCCTACAATATGCAAAACAAATATACTGGAGTGAAAAAATGATTATACAGTTCACTGTCAGCCTTAGATTTTGACTTATACTATATTCCATTAGTCATAAAATAATTGGAGCGCATCTGAAAATATAGGAAACTGGCATTAATTTTTTTAAATATATATATAAAAAAAAAACATTTTGTTTTCAGTTGTGCTCCAATAATCTGTAGCCAACCAACGAAGTAAGTAAATAAATTAATAAATATGCTCAAAAAAATTCATTCAGAAAAATATTTTTAAAAAATTCTAAAAATAGATGTTTCTCCAAACGTAACTGTCCATCCCTAAATTAAAAAAAAACCTGTAGATTTCGACACATTTATTATGCAACCAAATCTAATCTAATGTTGTATAAAATTCATATTGATCATTCCATTCATATAATCTTTCATCCAGCAGTTATTAATGTATAATCCCTGAAAATTACAATATTTCACATCAGAAACTGTATAGTACACAATAAATAAAAAGCATACTTTTAAATTGCCAATTGTTGAACAGCAACCTCAACAAATATATATTTTTTCCTACCTCACTGCTGTTTTCACACTAAATACTGATAAAATATTTTATTTTTTAGCTGCATGTCTTTTAATCCAAGGTGTTTTTAATCGTGGCAGAGAAACTTCCTTACAAATATCTCGTTTTACTTTTATTCTATAGTCATGCTGTAAAAAAAAGAAGAAAAAAAAACAGCAAAGGATGTGGATGGGAAAGGATAGGACTGCCACGTCTTCGCCCCTCCCCTCCGTGGAAACTCGTGTGCGGACTAAAGTCCCTCCGATGGAGCTATACCTGCTCAAAGCCAAACTGCAATCTACAAACCAACAAGAATCACTAGTTCACGGTCAATCTGTGCTGTAGAGATTAATTGATTTATTTAAGCAAGATGCTTCACTGCTCGTATTTATTTTATTTTATTTTGTTGTTAAATATTTTCCATTTTGACAGCACCAATGATGTACTTCCACTCCAGTATGTCGCGTTGTAGAAAATGTATTTAGATTATTATTATTATTTTAAATTCAAATAAAACAATGCAAAGTGAAGGCAGCAGTAGCATCCCACGCTACATTGCATAGGAATGCCATAACTAAGCCAACGACAGAACTACGCACGCTTTTCGCTTGTCTCCTGTTTGCCAGGTTGTTATTTTGTATCTATTTTAGCTCCTTCCGGCTGTTATTGCAGATCTCTGGGGGTCTTAGCTTTCAGTTAAATGCTTAAACGCTCCGCGCTAACACTAGTCTGGGTAGATCACGCAGCCTTCAGCTGTGAACTAGAGAATAACTATATAATGTGCGTACAGGCCTTTTTCTCCGTCTCTTATCTGACCTAGGAGGCTGTATCTTATCTGCAGGCTGTATTTACCTCGTCCAGAGCATCCCAGTAGCCAGCAGGAGAACCGTGTCCTCAGCCGCTGTGTCCTCTGAAGTAAGTCTCACTTCCTCGGGAAGGACTCGCTGAATTAACGGGGGGGGATAAGATCCTCCTCTCTGTGATGTTCCGGCGAACTGTTGGCTACTTGGACGCCGGGGCTGGATCTCTGGGAGTCTCGGCCTGAATGCTACGTGCAGGCTCACATGCGTACAGTTTTGTGATCATTTTTTTTTTTTCGGGGGAGGGGGTAACAGGGGGTGTCCTGTGTAAAACGATAGGGAAGTTGTAGCTTTTTGAGCTTAAATCCACAGTGACACGACCGCAAAAGGTTTTGTTGAGTGCAGTCTCCTAACTAACGCCACGCTTCTGCCACGTATTAAAAACGTCTGGGGAGGCAAGAGTGATCATGAAAGTACAGTTTTCACACCTAAAAGCGGATTTAAGATGACGTTTTCTACTCATTACATTTTCATGGAGGTTGTGTGAAGTTTGGGATATGAAACTTTGGCAAACTTTTACCCTATTTTCACCTGCAATCTCTGCTTTTCACATACTAGAACATTCCTCCCTGCAGTGTCTGGAATGCTGCTTAAATTCAGCAGGGTGGAGCCAAGAGCAGCTGTGTGTGATAAACTGATTACTCTCATTTCTTAGTGCACTGTGTATTAGTTATACGCCTAGTGCATTCTACACAGGCATGTAAATGTTTACTAACCATAATAAACAGTGGCCGTTTTTGCTGGAAGAGTATATCTTATCTTAAAACAGTGTGTTATGCTACGTTCAAATAGAATCTCGGCTACATTTTGGACTGCAGTTTGGACATGCAATCCAAAAATGGAGCAACATTTTTGGACTGCATGTTACTCCAGTCCAAAAATACTGGACGGTGCCCTGTGATGGACTGAAGACCTGTCCAGGGTGAACCCTTCGTCTTACCCAGTGACATCTGGAGCACCAGCCCCAAGAAGCAATCCTGCAAGGATAAGCAGCGACAGACAAAGATGAATGGACAGATGGATTGTGGTGTTTATTGAGATAAAAAAAAAAATTAAAAATGGCATCCCCTTACAAAATACAAAATGCACTTAAACTCACCTTTGCTTATCTTTTTAACCATTAGCCTGGAATCTGTCTGCTTGGAGCTAGCATGTTTTCCCTTTGTAGGTTAGATTGATTTGTAGGGCTGCAACAATAAATCAGCCCTGATCATTTCCTTAAGTTTGGGGGATCGGTGATCAACCCATACTTAAATGATGTTAACCACCAATGTTATTTACCTCAGGAAAGGAGGCAAATAAGGATATGCACCCCAAAACCCTGTTGGTTAGAGCCTCTCCCTGTGTTTTGTTTCGGGGTAGTCAGTTTAGTTCAGAAAGATTTTAATGTTGCATTCCCCGAGTCAAGTCACGCCTGTATAGACATCGTCAGAGGTCAATTTTCAGACTTACTTGGAATCGAGGTCCCAGCTCTTAAGAAAGAGTGGAGAGGCACAGAATCCACATTAAAGTCCAGTGTCCAAGTCAGTGATAGTTTCCTCCACCTTGTTGACTGCACCCTTGTGGACAGAGAGCCGTAATGCATTGATGAAAAACTGACACATTTAAGGCACTATGAAAACAGAAATCTGTGCAATATTTGATGTTGAAGTCCAGAACCAAAACTTTTCATACACTCTTTCAAAATCAGTAGACCCTCATGATATTCAGTATCAATTTGCTTTTTCTAATTTTATATAAAGATTGCACAGCTCATTTAAAACAAAATTCTGAGTGTCTTTCCTTTCAGCTGCCACTAGATGTCATCCACGAAGAGCTGGCAGATTAGAGTTCTGTGTTTCTGTAGCAAACACCCACCAGGGCTGCTCCACCAGGATCTCCTATTGCTGAGGCACACCCTTTAAAAGAAACATTAAGGTTTGGTGATGCACTAACAACATAGACACGTGTGTGTGTGTGTGTGTGGTGTGTGTGTGTGTGTGTGTGTGGGTGTGTGTGTGTGTGTGTGTGTGTGTGTGTGTGTGTGTGTCTTTCCCCCCTTAGAGTGTTTTCTTTTCTGTGGAGCTTATTGGATGACTTCATGTATTAACCGTGCTAATCAAATAAGCTTGACATACATAGAGGTCCTTCCAGGATTTATATCAACGAGGGGGGGGCCCCCCAGGGCTTTTTTTTTTTTTTTTTACCACTCGGTTTAAATAGCTGGGTGAGAGTTCACCCAGAGTGAGAGTGAGAAGAGTGCATTCAACAGAATTAATGCTGGTTAAGTTGCTGGTTCCGTTTTTAATATGTTTAAGTTGGCAGTCCTATAAGCAGGTAAAGCAAGCCATGTTTGTTCTGCTTCTGCTTTTTTTGTTTTAGATTGTATTTTATGTTGACATGTTTGGTTTGGTTTCATGCCAAGTTGAACAAAATTACACTTTCGCTCCCGACACTTGTCTGCATTGTGTCTGTTACAAATGCTGTTCAGTGTTGAAGGGAGCCACTACATGAAGTGAAATTTTTTGACAAACAAAAAAAAAAGAAAAAAAGAAAAGTGTTTTCATAAAGACTTTGAGATGGAGGTCCCATTCTGCTGTCCTTTATTAATACTCTCTTTTCCCCACCTCTGACCTGCCAAACTGTTTGCGCCTTACATCTAGGATTTACTGTAAGACCCCCACAAGATTAGTTTGTTGTCTGGACCTCATCTTTTGATCTATTTTCAAGCCTGTGTGTGGTTTACATCTGCATTACTATATCTGCTAGGCGGATTGAATTAAACTCGTTGCAGCTGGTGATTTTCCTTTTACTGCCATTGCCTCGTGACACAAAGACTGTACATTAAACACCTTATGTTCTGTTAATAAATAACTATATGGCTGCTGCTTGAGGTGCTTATGTTTTTAATTATCTCTCAATCACTAATTAATGCTGCTTTGAATTTTTATTACTGAAGTGGTTAAAGTCGCTCACTGCAGCCACTGTTTGCCCGAACAATGATAATGAGGAGTGTAAGTCAGATGTTATGTGTGTAAACAGCTAAATCACTTCAATTGATCCTGTACTGAGAACCGACTCTTCCATCCATGTGTTGGTAAAATAAATAAATAAATAAATAAATAAATAAAAAACAATTGTTGGTCAATAAAAAAAGAAAAAGAGTTAGTTGTTACGCACGACAATGAAGCCTGACATAAACAATAGGCATAATGACTGAAAGGGTCAACTTTGGAACTGCTAAACATTACTTTAAAACAAACTAATGTTTCTGTTTTTATTGGCATTTTATTGCCCTTATGCATATGTAACTTGAGAAGACAAAGGGCAGAAGGAAAGGGAAGTCATTCACCTGGGGTTGGATATTATACTTGGGACTCCTGCGTCGAGGACTAGCTCCCATTTACAGTGTGACTATTCTATCACTGAGCCATGTACTATGTGCTTAATAGTTTAAAGTCGTTTTATATTTTCTTCTCTGATTGTATTGTGTTTGCTACTAGCTTACATTTTACAACAATTGCTTTGTTTTTTGTTTTCTTGTGTTTACTAATATAGGTTTAGTTTTTTGTGTCTGGTGTTTTCCTCACTAAGAGACTTTGCTGGTTCAATTCTTCTCATTTTGTCGTCTGTCTGTTCCCCACAGTCCCTACAAGAAAGAGTGAAATCGGCTGATTAATATCACATTGTATATTTTTTTCTTTAACAGTATTTTTACAAGGTTTGTTTCTTTCTAGTTAATTATCTTAATAATTTATCACCATTCTAGACCTTTTGAAAGCGTGTCTTGTTTCTAGTTTACTTCCTTTTTGCATGTTCTGTCCCCATTCATTTTTCAAAGTATTTTCAAGACTTAAAACCAGCTATGAAAATACTAATAAAAGCGTAAAAATGTAATTAAAAAAAAAATACAATATCAATTTATTGAAAAAGGAAAATAAAAGAAAACAAAAAAAGAATAAGTGACGCTAAAGAACAGAACTGCTAAAGAACTACAAAAATGAAAACAAATTCAATTTTGATCAAAAGTAGCCAGTGGGTGTTATTGAGCTATTATATTCAGAGGGTCAATATTAATTCTTTGATTCAGCAGTTGTCTTCATAAAAGCTGAGTTTGGGCTTCATTATCAAGGCATTACAATTGTTTTATGTGATGTCCAAGTTAAGTGAATCTCTGTGTTTGCCCGTATTTATTTGTTTTATTCTTGTTATTCTCACACTTATGAGTAGGTCATTTTAAGAGATTAATATGATTAATTGCAACCTGTTACGTGTTTAAGCCTTAAACAACCACGCATAATGAATTTACATCTGTTGATGCTTTTTCAGTGCTATTTTGAGTTTTGGTGGCTGTTAAAATTAAGTACGACTGTCCCCTGCTGAGCTGGGAGCCACCGGTTGACAATCATACATCAAACAAACAAACAAACAAACAAACAAACAAACATAATAATAATAATAATAATAATAATAATAATAATAATTAATAAATGTTCCCATATTAATTTAAATAGAGAACCATGACCAGCCTCATTAATTTAGTTGCGCATGACTGATACCTCTCTGCAGCTGGTAAGTTAATTGTTGCTAAATATGCCTATAAAAACATTAGATAGAAATCGTTTATAAGACCACAACTCTCACCGCTATCCCACAGAGAGTGAAACTGCAGGTCAGCATTATATTAGCAAGAAAGTCTTAATAAATGTTCGACACTTTATGTGGGTGGTTTGAATATTTCTGCTGGATTCCGAAAAGGTGATCTAGCGAAATGGCCCCTTTAATTACACTGAGACAAACAGAGCGGGGGCAAAGTTCAGCTGAACTCATGATAAAAACGGATGAGGAGAGAAGCCGGAGCTCAGAAAGCAGCATGACGTAATACTAAAGGACACGGCCGCAGGAAGATGCGGAAACAGACACGGAGATAAATAATTCCAATCCTACCTCCGTTATATCGATAGTAAAAATTTGGCGCAACTCGTTTGCTGAATAATGAGTTTGTGAGGAGTTACAAATGGTGAGCAAAACGCGTTTCTCTTGCCTATGTTTGTTTTGTTGTTTTAAAATAGGTACTGTGTAGCTCAGTCTGCATTTAGTCGTCTTTTGCGACGTGAAACGACGCCGTCACACATCTTAGAAACAACTTTAACGTATTGTAAGATGATTTTTGATTCTATATATTGGTTTGAACTTCATGAATGCTCTTCTGTATGATCGATGGACCAGCATTGATTACCTACACTTAGAAACACCCAGCATGATCTCATGATAACCTGACTTGTTTTTGTTGTTCACTGTTCCCTGGAGACTGTATTGCTTTCTCGTGCAAATTCCTCGTTGACTCACTATACCTTTACACAACAGATACTTGCAAGCAACCTCTGCACAGAATGACAAGATGTCTGTTAGGTAAAAGGTAAAGATCCCATTTTCTTCTACTACCATATATCAAACCAGATCTTTATAAAAAGGCACAAAACTTTTTATCACTGTCTGACGCTTATCAGGACTAAACTGTGCCTGTTTTAGGTGAATCAGGATTACCAAACGTATTTGTTAAACTCCAGAAGGATGAGATAAGTATGATGATTTCATCGCTTTCTAAGCTTCTAACTGGGTAATTTGTAGCATTTGAGTTAAATAAAGATGCTCCTGTTATTATATTTTAAGGCAACACCTCAGACACACTGGTTATTTGTAAGACATGATGAGCAAAATCAGAATAAATCAGGCGAGATATAAATGTCTTGTCGACTAATACAATTAAATTTCAAAGTCTGACTGACAAAGAGGGCAGATTGCAAGCCTGAAAACACCTTCCCAGGTGTAAAACGCAAAGGTGTTGGTGTGTTGATGCTAAAAGTACTAAAATAAAATTAGTAACTGAAAAATGTACCTAAATGGTTTACAAACCTGATCAGACCTGTCAGGAGGAATTGGCCAACATTCCACTGAAATATTTACAGAATCTTAAGGAAGAATATCCAAAATATCTGAAACAAGACATACAGTTTGAAACGCAAAAACATTTCTGCATTCAAAATTCTGCCATTTATTCATTTTTGGTAAAACAAAAGCTGACATAAAACAGGCACTGTTTAGCCTGATTGAATGGTGAAAATTAAAGGTTATGTGTCTTTTCAAACATCACCCATAAATATCTGTTTTCCACTGTTTCTTGATTTTATGTGCAAATCTGGAAATTAGGTTAATTGTATACGAGGATAACAATTGTGTGCATGCACATAAAAGCCTGTCTGTAAAACTTCCTGGTTGCAGTTTAAGGAGATGGAGGACTGGATGGTATGTCTCAGCACTGAAGAATCTTTCTTCAGTTCACGCTCTGAAGCCGCTCATTCCCACCTTCTGCTTTGTGGTGGTGATCGTATACGGCCAGGCCGACAAACTCAGGAACTTTGTCGCTGGCATCTTTATCCCGCAGTACCATTACCCGTTCCCTGTTGCTCTCTGCTTCACCCAGGTTAGTAAATGCAGCGTCGCTTTCAAAATCAGTCATCCATTCATTAGCAGGAGAATGTGCTCGCGAGGAGTGGAGCACACCAGGCGAGATTTGCATACTTGTCTATTTCTGCAGAGTTATTTGCATTCTGACATCACTGTATTTGCCTGTGTTGAACTAACATTTCCATTTATATAGACATCAGCATGCAATACATTGCAAAAATAGTTCCACCTCTTGATTAATGGATTTGTTTTTGCCACGCTGCCATCGCAAATGTCAGTGTATTTTATTGGGATTTTATGTGATAAAACAAAGAAAAAAAATTTAATTTACATGATATCACAAGCTTTGTCACTCTAGATAGATTGGATATATTTTTTTAAGTTCTGCCACTAAATTTCAATTGCATTTAGATCTGGACTTTGACTGGACCATTCCAACACATAAATATGCATCCAGCAAAACTATATTTCCTTTTTTTTTTCTATTTGTATGTTTTGGATTGTTGTCCTGCTGAATATCTCTTGCAGCTTTTAACAGACTTTTTGCTGTGTCACATTCTTTCCATTTTTAGACGAGAGAGTAAACTGCCATTACGTTTGCCTACTGATGTTCTCAAAACAAACTGATTTATGCTGAGATTAAATTACAGCATAATTTTTTTTTTTTTTTTGATAGGCAACATATTAAGACAGCTCGGTACGCTGGACTTTCATTGAAGAGTTTAGAGTCGTGCACCACTTTGTTGGTCTTTAGTGTAAAATTCTAACAAAAACTTAAAGCTAGCCCACTAAACACAGAAGCATACTGTTGCCTCTGTGTGCCGGTTTGAAGGACAGAGCAGAGATAGCGCCAAGGCAAAAATGCTTAGTGTTGATTAACGCATGCATGTGATGTTTAACCAAATTATCACGCAACGGACTGACATGAGAATATGACCTCGTTCAAAGGTTGACCACAAAAAACCGCCTGGAATGACAGTCTAAAAAAGTCCACAGATAGGCATCAGGTGTGCTTGTGCAGCAAGCTTAGGAAAGAAATAGGATTACCAACAACCAAAGCAGACTTGCTGATATAATACTTTCCAGCTGTCATTAAAAAATAAAAATATGTCAACCTGCAGTAGAGTCAGCACTTATAAATGTGGAGTTAGCTCTTAGTAATTTCAAAAAGTGCGTATGTTCCTCTTCCACCTTGCCAAGTCCTCAGTATCTTTGTTTATGACTGGCAATCAGATATTTCCATGTTGCCTCAAAGTAATTTTGAGATCAAAATATTTAGCACTGTATTTAGCAAAACAAGTTGATTATGCTTGAGCACAAGCACGTGACATTCTATGACAAAGCAAAACTTGAAGAAATAAAGATGATCAAATCTGGTTGAATCTGCAGAAAGCGAAGCAAAAAAAAAGGGGGACCGTAATATTAGGCTGGATGAAAAAAGGAACATTTTTGTATTTTACTATACAAGCTCAAACATTTAATGTATAATCTTATAAACTCTGAGCTTTCCTGTGAATCAATAGACCAAAATTAAATTGGATGACCAATGTTTCTTAGAATTATTACACGACCGTGTTTCAAGGAACTGACTAACCTCTGACACCTGTCAGCCTTAGACGGTTAGACTACATTTCAAAGTCCAACTGGGTTCCTTGGTCTTGCCTCAGAAACAGCATGATCAATGTCACCCTCGTAGTTTTCCATTAGAATAAAGTCCAGAAATTGGGCAGACCACTGCAAAATGTTAATCTTGTTATTCTGAAACCAGGATGCTGCTTGCTGTTTTAGTGTGCCTGGGGCTGTTTCCCTATTTTTTTAATTGTTTTAAAGTTACCTCTGTAAGTATTTTGATAAGTTAGAAGAGATCTGTAATCCATGATCTCTGGTATGTGCAGGATGGATCCAACGTCATAATATAGGAAATGTTCCCATGCCATGATGCCTGAGCCACAATGCCTCACAGTTTAAAGCAGCTTGAATTCATCGCTTTTATGTTTGTTTGAGAAATTGTTGGTGATTCCTAGACCGTAAAGCAAAACGATCTGCCATTTACCTTAATTTTGTATCCATCGGAAAGGTAGTGTTCTGCTGGTAGTTTCGGATTTTGGTTTCAATTTCGAAGCACTCCTGTTCATTTTAGCTCAGCAGTCTTACCATTTCTTGCTCTTTTTAATATGATTTTCATTTAAGGTTCACTCTGTTTTGGAAAAATATCTGGAACAATCGATTTTATGCCTAGGTTTTCTAGCCAATTGTTGGCTAGAAAACCTAGCCAACAATTGGCAACAAAACCTAGCCATTTAAACCTTTATTAAAATGCAGCAAAAAAATTTAAAAATGAAAGATTTATGTCACACACACACACACACTTAGGCTGAATTTCTGTGATTATTATCAAGAAAAACATGGAAATGCATATTAGAGAAATCTAGTTCTCCTTAATAAAGTAGGTTAACATACGTCAGTGCTCATATATTTGTTTTTTGTTAGTCATTCTTAATATCTGTTACCATTTTTTATTGTTGAACGTAAACTGTTCCAGATATGAGGACCTCTGAATGAGAACGAGTCTTTCAGTTAATGATTTGTTTACACTTAATCAGCCTCATGCATGTCATGAATGGTAGTTTTCATGACTTTATTACATCCACTTTATAAATGATTTGCTTTATTAATGATTCTACTTTTGACCTAACGGGTATTGTTGGACTGCTGTGTTTTGAACTCAACTTTATATTAAAAAAAATGTCACAAAAACATGACATAAGATCAGATATTATTTAACCCAATTAAATCTAAAGGAAAACAAAGCAATTCTATTTTTGTGTCATAATTATATTTTCAATGATGATAGTTGTCCTGGTTTGCCTTGTTTTTCTTCCCAAAATAATCAGCTTATTGATTGAAATGCAAAGTTCGTGACTATGTGTATTCCCCTCACATTTTTTTTTCTTAAACATAAGGCCAAAAATAAAAAAGAAAGGATTTGTCAAAGCAAATTTACTGGCTGTGAAGTTAGCTGTAATTTATTTGTGGGCTGTAAATCATTAATTCTGTCATGTGGACACCGGCTGGTTCTGCTTCTGCTTTTCTTTGAATTGTCATTCCCCTTACAGAGCTGAACATGTTTGCACTGCTCTCCCCAGGTTCTGGTTTCTCTTGTCTTCATAAATCTCCTCCATGCCTTGGGATTGGTGCATCTCAGACCGTACTCCAGATCGCTGGGAGAGAGGCTGCTGCTGCCCACCATCTGTAACAGCTTTCACTCGGTGCTCATGACTTGGACCAAAACAAGCAGCCCGTACGCAAACCTCTTCCTCTTCACTGTTCCTCTGCTGCCTCTGCTGACCCTCGGATTCAGTTTTGCGCTGAAGGTGGCGTCTCCGCCATCGCACCACTTGTCAGTGTTGATTTCTATCCTGAGTGGGATGTTTGTTGTCATCACAGGTAAACTTTAACACACGGCAAAAACTTTCACAACCTTTGAACCTTTTTTGTCACATTGCAGCCACTAATCCCCAACGTGTTTCTTAGGTTTTTTGCAATTTTGCCAAGTGCAACGAAGCGGTTTTATCAGATCAAACAATCAAACAAATAAAAAAGATTCTATTGTCCTATCGCGAAAACCTGTATTGTCAAAAACCAACACTGTAGCTGGCACAGTGAGCAATAAAAAAATCATTTTGGTGAAATTTGGAGCAGTGCCGCAAGGTTGATTGACAGGGCTAAGACCGTCCTCCTGGCTCTGATTGGTTGCTTCTGATGTGATATATTTCTGCAGATTGCTCTAGGTCCACAGGGACAAGGCAGAGGAGCTCAATTCTTTTTCACAGATCACGTGTCTCAAGTTGTACTATCACAACATGATATTTTTAACAAATATGTAAAAAATGTAAATACTGCCTCTTTAATTCCCTCTCTCCATTGGGATTTGTCACACACAATCCCAATAATACACATTGAATTTTGAGAATAATGAGAAAGTGAGACGGTTCAGTTGGTACGAATACTTTTCCTAAGCATTGAATGAAATTGCATAATATCTTATGCAAGATTAAGAGAGGAATTTTATTAATGTAAATCAATTTTTTTTCACCCCTGCAAAGCGTCCAATGGGATTCCTGGTGTTGAGCCTCTGGAGAGCCTCTACGCGCCTCTCGCTTTGATTCTTCACAGCCTTTCGCTGATCAGCTTCGCTAAAGTGTCCGAGTCTGTGCGCCAGCAGCCCTCTGACGTCCAACCCTCTGTTTTTGACATCTACTACGCTCAACTGGTTAACCAGAGTGGAGTCCTGGGCCTCCTGTGGCTTCTGCACCCAGACAAACCCTGGCTGGTGTTGAAAATGAGCAACTGGCGCAATCTGCTCTTCCACGGATACCTGCTCGCCATCGTCCTGCTGGGAATGGTGCTCAACTTCCTGGTCTGCGTTTCTGCTCTCTGCGTCTCCCCACTCGCGGCTGCGTTGCTATATTCGGCGAGGTACATGGTGCAGCCGTTTTTTCATCTTCTGTAGTTCCTCTGCATGTTATGGAATCCTTGTCTGTCTATAAGCTATCACCATTATCAAAGGTTGAAGTAGCAATTCCGAAAAAAAAAAGAAGAAGAAAAATCACACGAAAAACGTGAAAAGGTTTCCGTCAGGTCAAACGTTTAAAATTAATCCGGATAGAATTGTGACTTCTATAATTAAAAGTCTGTCACAGCCAGAAGAAATCTGCCACTAAACTTTCAAACCGAAAAAGATGAAATAAATAACAACACAGCGCACAGACCAAAATTTTGAAGAAAAGCTTTGATGTCCAAGGTTTGATGTTTGATGAGGGTTAAAATTAAGAGACATGTATCCTGTTATGACCACGTTATTTGTTCCTGTATGAAATTAGACAAACTTGGCATGTGAAATGTCTCTCTCTTTTTAATTTGATCTAAACTAACTGCACCAATGTTTATTTTAAATCCCTGTGTCATAATCAGATTAGTTTTGCTGGTTGAAGCTAATGAAAATATGTTCACATGTTGCATGTGTCTGCAAGAACCTGAAGAAAACAGGCAGTAAACTACTTCCTATACAGATTATGGTAAACCTTTGGTACAAAGCAACAAAACTTATTTTTTGTGAAAAGCTGGATTTTTCTTAATTTGAGCCAATTCTTTTAATATTATCATTTTCTTGTGCATCTTTTAACATATTTGAGCAGTATTTAAGAGATTAAAGTCCCAGGTTTCTCCTCCACTGAACAAGATCTAACTGGATCTCTGAGGAGGTTTTCTGTGAATGATTCTGAGAAGCTTTTTTTTTTTCAGATGAAACAGGATAAAGATGATCAGGTTGTTTTTTTTTTTTTTTTACATTTTTACATGACACATAAAACCACATTTGTAATCAGTGTTAAAAAAATATATGTAACCTCAGACCTTTGGCTGAATGAATCTTAAACCAGACGTTGGTTTATGTCCCTGAATGATTCTGAGAGCTCGGATGAAAGGGCACGGCACTGACAGGCTGTTATGATGCCTCTTGTTAAAGTCTGATGTAATTTAAGACATTATGTTTTTATTAATTTAACTTTAAATATGTATTTTTATATAATTTTATCAATTTGCAAGCTTTTTTTTTTTTTGAAGTAGCCAGTTCTGTTCTGTAAAAATGTGCTGTGCATGTTTAATAAAACTGAAAGAAGTGAATTGACTGTGAAAATGTGTCAATGCTGTAAGCCGATGAGTTTAAATTAGTTGAAAAAGTTGAAGTTGCAATACGTGAATTCTATGGGGTCACATCGTAGCTCGGTTGGTAGCATTGTTCCCATGCAGTAAGAATAGCAAAGGTTGTAATGGGAACCATTTTCAGAAGTCTGAAAACAGGTATTTGTTTAGAAATAGAACTATAAGTTCATTATTTTTAAATGCTATGTCACCAGAAAGCCAAAAAAGAATTTGTTCAGCATCATCAGAAAGTTTTCACACCCTTTCATTTTTATATATATATATATATATATATATATATATATATATATATATTTTTTTTTTTTTTTTTTATAGTCAAGTTACAGGCTTAACCTAAAAGCGATCGGAGGGTTTCTTTTCCTCAGTGTCAATGTGGAAAACATCTTTTTGGATTGCAGCTATTCACCCATGGATTGATATTCGTCAAATCTATTTTATAGCACATTCAACTAAAAAGCAGTTCAAAGTACTTTACATCATAATCATACAAGCATTCTCCAATCACCAGTTGTGACACAAGCAATGAACATTACCTTTGGTTGGAGCACCTTGAGCAGCAGTCACAGCCACAGGTCCTCTTGGTTACGTTTCTAAACATCTGGAATATCTATTTAGAGGTAGCTTCTTTCATTCTCTAACAGATCCCTCACAGGTCAGTGAGTAAAGAATTTGGTAACACTTCATTTGAAGGGACGTGCATAAGACTGACGTTACACCTGTAATGAACATGAAGGTTTGCAATGTTTACAGCTGTTGTCATGAAGTGTCATTCTGTAAATAATGTCACTCTCAGTGCAAAGTAGACTCTTTTACTTGACTTTTAATGTAAGTTTTAATGCAACTTTGAATAAAAATGCAATTATTTACTAAGACATGCTAAATAATGCACTTTTAATTACACTTGATGTCATTGTACCTACAGACACTTCATGACAACAGTCATGAACATTCATGAAGACTCCTTCATATCCATGACAGTGTAATGTCAGCCTTCAAATACAGTGTCACCAAGATTTTTTTAAAATATCTTTTTAAAGATCTTCAATTGAATTTGATGCCCAAGTTCTGCATTGTGTGGCCAGGTAAGGAGTAGTACATGTTTTGTTTCCCCAGACATGCTGCTTGGATTTCAGGTCAAAAAGTTCCACTTTGGTTTCATCAGATAAGACAAGTTTGTTTCTGATGGTCTGATAATCTCTAAGGCGTACATTTACAAAATGAAAGTGGGCTGCCCAGTCCTTTTTCATGATGAGTGACAACTTATGGCCTTATTGGTAAAGTACTTTAAGAGTGGTTGACGTTCTTGACGATGCCTCCATCTTCACTAGGAGATAGAGATATGTCCTTGATAAATATATTATCTTTATCTCAGATAATACTTTTGACTTCACTGCTTGGTCTCTGCTTTGATTTGCGCTTTCAACTGCGAGACTTGTTATAGGCTACTAGAATGTTCGATTTCTGGTCATGTACGATCAACTTCATTTACCCCTTGTGGACTCCTGTGGCATTGCAGAAGCATCTCAACGAAGCATTCAGATAGTGAAAGGAGGAGGAAATAAAACTATCTAGAAAACATGTTTATTATGTGTGATAACATGTAAAAAAAAATGATACAAACATGCATCCAATCACAGTATTATGTGTATTAACAGTTCATGATATAATAGGTTAATTCCCATTTTCAGTGATTTCAAAAAAAAATTGAGTTTTGCTCTACTGAAAATCCAACTTGTGTTAATCCTTAAATAAGAGGTTTTTCTGACACAACACATGACAAATATTTGACATAAAGACACCAGACTTTGTCCTCTGTCCATTCATCACCTCTGTGTCAACCAGTTCCCGACTCGTAGTTTCAGTCCTCTTCCTTTCCCTCCCCCATCTTCTCTATGAGGGATCTGAGTTGGGTGGCATTTGTATTCCCAGGCTCTGCAGCAGGTTAGAAGCAGGTCCAGCCAGTCCAGCCTGGCTGCTCAGAGACTCCAGTAGATTCGCCACCAAGTTGACATCGATGTCTAAAGGCTGGATCTCCTCCTCAGCCTCCTCCGTCAAAAGCCCGTCTCCCGTCGGAGAACGAGACGAGTCATTGTTCACGCAGGCCTTGTAGTTCTGTAAAAGTCACACATTCGCAATGGCCTCGGTGCATTTTAAACCTGCTACTTTTTGTATAAAAACATAAAAACATAGTATTTACCGTTTGACTGAAGCTTTTCCCAACATTAGTGCTCTGCAGCTCCTGATCCATTTGGTCCATGTAACTTTTGAGGCTGTCCAGAGTTTCGGCTGCGCTCATCTCTGCAGGACCAGATGAGCCTTCCTCTGTCTCATTCGCCACCTCTTCCTCCTCATCATCATCATCGTAATCATCATCCAGATCATCTGAATCCAGCTCTTCTTCTTTGCCTCCTGTGATGGAAAATTACTACAAGTTAACATCTGCTGATCGAGTTATATTAAATGCTTGTGAACTCTCACCAAAATAACTATTTGGGTTACATATACAAGGTTTCTAAGTTGTTTTCTGCAGCTGCATCAGAAGCAGACTGTCTTGCCCCTTGTTTTGAATTCCTTATCCTTGGTATGAAACTCGTGTGTTGTCTCTGCCTGGCAGAGCTTTTCACCCCAGCCCTGCATTGTTACTGATTGTCCTACAAGCTCCCTGCATTGTGCACAATATATGAATATGTGATTTCACCTGACAGTGCTTGGTAAAATAGTTTGGTTTTTTTTCCACAACCCTCCTAAAATATTTAAAATGATGAAATAAAACGACGGAACGGAAGAAGAATCAATCATTGCTCTTACGTACCTAAGAGTTTATCTAGTGCGTTGGCCATCGAGCCTGGGTCAAAACTGAAAGGCTGAGTCTGAAGGCTCCTGGAAAACATTTAAACAAAACAGGAACTATCAAACCAGAGTTAGAAAAATATATTTAAAAAAAAAAAAAGAATGACTGCATGTAACTTATCTCACCAGGGTGCTTCAGCCCCCTCATGAGACGACATGGCATTGAGGAAGTCCTTCATCCCTTGACTGACAGCTACAAGACTGTAACCTGCTTCTTCCTCTTTGGTGTCCTCCTCTTCCTCCTTCCCTGAAGCCTCCTCGACAGGCCGCTTCTGCTTGGCAGAGCTGAAGCCTTCACTGCCGACATCAGCGACCCTGCTGCTTCTCTCCTGCAGCAACTGCTCTAAATCCTGAGATGTGATTTCCAACCAGCTGTCGCCTGTAGATTAGCGAAAAGGAAAAAATAAAAATAAACAAAGGTATCATAGGAAATTGCAAATGAGTAGAGGAAGGATGATATAGGCAATGTGCACACATTTGTTTTGAGCTCTTTTATTGAGATGCAGTAGAAATTGCCAAAGTGAGAAAATGTGAGAAATGAAGTGTCGCCCTGCCCCCACGTGTTGCTGCTCAGTGGCTGTCAGTTGCGTGAAAGAGTGGTAGTTTTTTTTTTTTTCTGAAATCTTCTAAATGTGTGACACATTTTTCTTTCCTATCAAGTCTTCAATCTGATTATTTCATAGATACTTTAATAGCAAGAAAAGGATCTACTCCGTTTCTGTGAAGCTGTTCACTCACTGTCCTCCGGGGGGAGCTGTGACTCCAGTTTCTTGAACTCCTCCAGGTTGAGCGGACTGTTGTGAAGCAGCTGAAGAATCTCCTCGCCTGCAGAAATGGAGCTGAAACAAAATTCACAGCAGGAATATTGAGGGGAAAAAAGACAAGTGCGTTTTTTTTTCTTTCTTCAGTTTAATAAACATTACATTTGTCAGTCCCAACTTAAACCACAAATACAAAATTTAATTTGAAGAACGGAATCCAGCGATCTTCATGGAAATCATGAACCCTGCTGTTTACATTCATCACCTGCCAGGCTGATCTCTACACTTGAAAGCAGATGATTGAATCCTCACCTCGACTTTGAGGCAACCGACTGTTTGAAGAAGATTTCTGCAGATCTTAAGAGTTCTTTGTGAAACGCCGAACCTTCCAGCTGGCCCTGCATTT